CTTAGAGGGGCCACCTTCTTCGATTTGAAGGATCTGACATCTTTAGGTAGAGTTCAGACCTCAGTGGTTCAGTGGCTGGCTTGATTGACAGTCAGCAGAAGGCGGTAAATGTGGGCGGGGCAGAGAGGGCCCGCCTCTCAATCCGTCTGACCAATCGCTGCTCCTATGGCTCCGCCCCCCTCCGATGCTTTTTGCGTCACCAAAAATCCAAGATGTCAACCAGGAAGTAGCAAAACCCCGGCTTCATTTTCTCAGTGCAGAAACCAACGGGTAGCTACGTCCATCTTTTATACAGTCTATGAACAGGACCAAGAGTTCAAGACTTGGCAAATTCCCCCAGATCTTGACCCCGATGAGCATCTGAAAAAACAAGTCTGATCCTTAGAGGGGCCACCTTCCTGGATTTGAAGGATCTGACACCTTTAGGTAGAGTTCAGACCTCAGTGGTTCAGTGGCTGGCTTGATTGACAGTCGGCAGAAGGCGGTAAATGTGGGCGGGCAGAGAGGGCCCGCCTCTCAATCCGTCTGACCAATCGCTGCTCCTATGGCTCCGCCCCCCTCCGACGATTTTTGCGTCACCAAAAATCCAAGATGTCAACCAGGAAGTAGCAAAACCCTGGCTTCATTTTCTTAGTGCAGAAACCAACGGGTAGCTACGTCCAAGTTCAAGGTGCTGACTTGGCAAATTCCCCCCAGATCTTGACCCCGATGAGCATCTGGAAAAACAAATTCGATCCTTAGAGGTGCCACCTTCCTCGATTTGAAGGATCTGACACCTTTAGGGCACCTTTAGGTAGAGTTCAAACCTCAGTGGTTCAGTGGCATCTGTGCAATATTTAACAGACGATTGGTTTAAGCACAGGATTGTACATGTAAATAGTTTGGATGCCTCTTAAAGTGATCGTACTTTAGTTCAGTCCGAGAGGTTTCAACAAGAAGAAAGTGCTCTCGCAGTATTTTCCGAGAGAGTCTGCAAATGTCCACAGAGAAACCCAGACACACAAACACACGACCTATATATACTATCTGGCCTCCTCATCATTTATCTTACAGCGGCAGAATCAGGATAGATTGGTTCAATTAGACTGGCCTTTAATGTAATCTGTTTAATCCATTTCTATCATCAAAGCCAATACCTACCTCTCTCCGCAGAGAGCGGGATTAGCCTTCGGAGTGCATCTCAAAGCCGCCGTCTCGGCTGTAAAAACGCACCCTCCGAGTCAATCAGATCTCCTCGATACTTGCGATATTTGTTCTTTACAACTGGCTGTGAGGGAAAACAGAGTGTCTCCAGTGAAGTTTTAATGGGTGAAGATTTAAGATCTTCATATCCGACCAGAGATTGCTAGCTCTGTTTTGGCACGACGCCCGGTGCCACGGTGATAGTACGGAGAGGGGGGAGGAGGAAAGACTCTATTTTTTACTCTCTTCAAGAATCGGCAAAGAGTTGATTTCATTCCTATAATGGAAAAAGACAGCATTGGTTTGTAGAAAAGATTCATGAATCCTTTGGAAAACTGTGTGTGAAGACATGTGGACAAGCAAACTAGTCGTCTGCTATAGCATCTTTAAAACAGAGGAAATGCTGCTGCAGCTACACTGTAAAATAAACTGTAAAAAATAAAAATAAAAAAATAAAAAGTGAAAAATACACATTAAAAAAATGTAGAGAACTGTGATGTTCAAAAACAATAAAAACCAGTAAATATCTGTAAAACAATGGTGGTTTTAGCTGATTTAAATACAGTAATGTGTGATTATATGGTAACATATAATAAAAGAAAAAAAACCATTATTTGCAAAAATAAAGATTTATAATGTGGACATTATACACAGTTTTGGCCTTTTTTATTGTATTTTTATTTTATTTTATTTATTGTTTATACAGTCAACATGTAAATATTCTGTTCCTGTGATTTACTAGAAAAATTTAAACTGTAAAATAACCATTTTAAATTTTTTAAATTATTTTTTTTAAGTTAAAGTATTTACAACTTACAATCCTTAATTTACTTTTTTATTTTTTTTTTTTACTTTAAATAACAGCAAATATCTGGCATGCACAAATAGTTTTTGTGGATTTAAATGCAGTAAAAGATGATTCATTACCATTGATAGAAATACAGATTTTTGATGTGGACTTTATTTACTGTTTGGCCTCTTGTTTTTTGTTTGTTTGTTTGTTTGTTTGTTTGTTTGTTTTACAAACTGTAAATTGTAATTTCCTTTTTCTGAGATTTTTTATCATTCTGTCAGTGAAAAACGGTAACAAAACAAGGCCAGTTTGTAAAACAACAGGAAATTGTTGTAAAAACAAACAAACAAACAAAACAATGCAGTTTAAACTGTGCAAACTGTTGTAAAAGGTAGCATTTTATAGTGTGGATATAAAGCGCTAAGTTATGGCTCTGATCATACAATGACCTATGAGGGCTTTTTTTTTGTTTGTTTTTTTTTTTACAATAAAATAAAATAAAATAAAAAATTCCAGGGAACCTCAGACTTTCCAAAATTGAATTTGTAAATGCACAATAAAAATCTTAGATATTTTCTGAAATTAAAGCGGTGAATTAACAAGAAAAAAAAAACAACAACAAAAACACAAATTCACAAGAGGAAAACTGAGATTTGCTGAAATTCTGAAATTCATACATTTGCAAGAAAGGTTTAAATTTATGACAAAGAAAAAACTTCTCATCACACCATCAACAGGGAATGCCACACACACACACACACACACACACACACACAAGTTGATGATCTTCTGTATTGTGTTGTCTTGTAGCACAAATCCCATTTGAACTGTCCCCGTGTGTAACCAGCCATTGTGTCCATTGTGTTGTGGTTCTTAAAGCACAAACACCGTCACCTTAATCAGAACGAGGTTTTCTGCTCCGGATGCTCATAACAATCGATGATTCTGGCCTTAAGACATGAGCGTTATTTTTAAATCTAATTGCAAAGGATAATTTGATTGGATCATCCACTGAGGGTTTATGATGAGCGTCAGTGATGTAATTTTTTCAAGTTTTTTTCTCATAAATTTATGTCTTTATTGGTGAACATGTACGTTTTTTTCTCATGGATTTGTTTTTCCTCTGAATATAAGGCCCTCCTTATCTCCATAATGTAGTTTTATAAATCTAAAACAGCTCTAAGATGCCTTTGCACAAATAATACATCAAGTTAAAAGACATTCCTGTGCAAATATAGGCCCGACTTTGCTTTATTTGGAGAAACGTGTGCTTCTTAAATGACAGAAATGGCATTAAACTGGCAACGATCCACCTTTACATTCGCTAGCTCGGTTAGCTCCACAACAAATCCGACTGTGTCTATTCAGCATCACCTACATTCTCCATAAAAACACTCTTTCTCTACCTCCAGGACCACAGTTTTGGTGTTTTTCACTTGAAGATTTTCACACTACTTTACTTAAAAGCGTGTGTTTTAAGCACTCAGGCAACCCATTCAAAAGCCACGACAACATATCTCCCCCTCCATCGCATGGCTTTAAACACGACTGTTTTTTTTTCTTTCTAAATTCGTGCATTTCATACAAACAGCTGCTTCTACCTGCTGAGATTTCCACGGGGAAGCGGGATTTCGTACTCAATACCCATCTACCCCTCACCCCACACTGTCAGAAGAAAGAACAAATCAGTGTGCAGGTATTTATTTTTTGACTGAAATGTATTTTGAAGACATCTTTCCCCACAATTCCTGACTTGCTACGTACAAATTTGAGTCTCTTTTTTTTCCCTCCAACTGCACCTGCCTTCGTGAATAAGCTCATTTTAAACACAGTATTTGTAATAATTTCTCCTCCGAGTGTGGATTACCCGTGCTTTTCAGGAGAATTCCCAGCGCAGCATTAGCAACGCGGCTCGTCACAGTCGATGGAAGCGTTCCCATAGCTGTTTTTTTTTTTTTTTCCCCCCCTTGTGCCTGCAGATATTAAAGCAAAACACGAAGCTGCTCGTCTGAGTCCACTGACTAGTGCAGCAAACTGTGGTCGTAAGACTTGATAAACCGGTGATGAATCGGTCGTGTCTGGGCCGACGCATGCACGTGCGGATGACAACGTCCGATTCGGTGTTGCTGACAGGCTTGATCGGAGCTGATTGATCGTCGCCGGGCTGCACGGAGCAACATGATGGGGTTAAGGACCGGGGGCTCCTGTGCTGTCTGAGGACACCCACCTCCCCCCGCTTTGTTAACACAAGCCCGATTGCAAACCATATCTGACAATGGATATTGATCAGGCGAACGGGAAAGATCAATGCTTGTTGATTGGGCAGAAAATACATGAGGGTGGGGGGTAGGGGGGCCGAATCTGTGCCCCGGGACTGTTGGACAGGTTCGCTGCTTAAATCACTTCTTGGAAGCGAAATGTCAGATTTAGCAGATTTTCGTGGCGGTCAAGCTGCTGCCGGTAACGTTTTAGCTTCTTTATCATTTGTTTTCAATCAGATTAAATCAGGCGATCATTACGGCAAATGTTTATTGAAGATGCTTACAGGAGTTGATTTCCAAGCTTCCACACGTTTCGCAACTACATATATGTACATTTACTGCCATCTGCTGGTTGTTGCATGCAAGTGCAACTAAGATTTTTTTTTGTGGAGAAACATGGAATCATTTGAAAAGCTGCAGCATTTATTACATATTATGTTTGAATACGGTCTTCGTGCTTCAACAACTTGCTCTTGAAATATTCAATTTAGACTTTTTTTGTTGTTTCTAGTTTGCGAATATGTCGATTTTTTTGATTTTTAAAAAAATCTGAGGTCACCTCAAAAACTACCTGCAAGCGTTAAGGTGAGAAGACAGCATGTTAAACCATAAAAAATAAATCATTACACATTACACAAAGGGGCAGGACCATTCACTGCAGCCCTGCTAGTTACTGAGTAACTTAGAGGTGAGTTAAGGCCAAGCTCAGAGTGCCGAGTCATAGTATTCTGTCAGACAGGGTGCAGAAAGTGTGGCGCAGAAATATGGCTGTACGTGCCTTCGAAGGTAAAGATCATGCAGCCGCTTACCGGCAGTACAGAGTCACGCCGCAGGAACTGATCAGCAAGATTATGAGCTCTGTGGATAAAAGGGTATGTTCAGCATTTTAACATCATGCTTCCATTTTTTATTTTTGCTGTGTCATGCTTCTAATCTCTGTTGCTGCTTGAACACCCAATCTGTCACGGTGGACCTCATTCAGGCAACCAAACGGTACAACCTGGCGGTGGATGTGGGCTGCGGTTCGGGCCAAGGGACCAAGCTTCTGGCTCCATACTTCACCGAGGTGGTTGGAACAGACGTCAGCCAGGCCCAGCTGGATATGGCGTCGACCAATAGCAAGCCTCCAAATGTTTCCTACAGGTGAGGTGAGGTGAGGTGGGGAAGTGTCATCGAGGTTATTTCATCAATCCAGGGTTGTAATTCAACCCTATCAGAGGGCTTCATAAAGTCGCTGTCTGCGCTGGTGCAATATATCCTCCACTATCTTTTTGGGACTCTTTCTCCTTGTCGCTGTTCCAAATGCACTTTTCATTTTAAGACTTCTGAGAAATCATCAATCACCCCCTAAATGCAGCACCTGACAAGAGTTCCTGTGGTTTAAAATGAGTTCACAGCAGTGTGATGTAGGTTAAGATGCAGCTAAAAAACATGTTTGCGGCGTTCCGGGAGAGCTGCAAGGTAAATATAATTATCGGTATCCAAATAAGAGCAGCAAATTAAGCTCCCTCTTCACTTCCTGTCCACAGTAGCTGCAAAAGTCCGACTGAAAGCTGCTGTTAAACGCTGGTATCAACATGTTTTGGTCTTTCCAACTTGCCTCTACCAGGCAGTGTCCGGCAGAGGAGCTACCGTTTGCGTCCGGAGAGGTGGACCTCGTGGCGTCCATGACGGCGGCCCACTGGTTCGACCGCCCGCGGTTCCTCCTGGAGGCTGATCGGATCCTGAGGCCCGGAGGCTGCCTGGCCCTCCTGAGCTACACCCTGGACATGGAGCTGGAGTACGGGGACGTCTCCAAAGCTCTCACCGACATCTGCAACGAGGTCCGAACGTTACAACTCGATTATCATCTTGTCATATTCAGTTCATATTGATTTTTTTTTTTCCATTAGTTCTACGGTGCACTGCTGCCCTTCAGAGATCCCTATCTAGGATCATGCTCGAGGAAGATCTATGCTGGCATGTTTGAGTCCATCCCTTATCCAGACAAAGAGTGGTATGTGCTGAGTATTTGGTACTAATTCTTCTATAGGTAAAGGAACATTGATTACATTTTTAAAAATCACTTGTTATGAAGAAGGCAACTGGACTTCCTTTTGGTTCTTAAAGATGTTTTATGCATGTTAATGACCCAAAAATGAATTAAAGTGTAAATGGTTGAGGCACCAGTACCTCAACCAAGTTGGCTTTTCCAGTTCCACCCGTTATTCTTGAGATGCAGGTGGACTGTAGAGACAAAAATGGCATCAAACTGACCATAAAGTACCCAGATACAAGCTGGGCAATGATGTAGTCCAATACAGTAAGGACCGTACAGATCCAGGGAGTTTTGGTTTGTCAACTAGCTTTGGGTCATCAAACTGAAATCTTGTTCTGAATGTCAGACTCCTTGGTTTACATCCAATAAGCCAACACAAATGTGTGCAGGACTGACTTACTGCAGGTAAAGAGGACCTTGCCGTTGAACGGGTACATCGGCATGGTGGAGACCTTCTCCAGCTTCCAGAAAATGAAGCGAGCGGACCCCGACGGAGCCGAACGCCTCTCGCACGACTTCCTGAACAAGTGAGATATTCACCTCCAACTCATCCACAAGCCTAATATTTAACCTCCACCCGCCTGGCACTGAACCATCACCTCCTAAATGAATTTATCACCCTCAAAAACTGCTCAAAATCTGTCACAGTCGTGGGCATTAATCAGAAAATGCAAACACTGGAAGGCTTCTTTGATAATATAGCCACCATTAATTCCCCCCTGGCTGCCAGTGATAGGACAGAATAGCCCCTCCAAGCACAATATATGGGGGAGAAGTGCTGAGTCGTAACTTTTACATGGAGGTAAAAAGGAAGATAGTTTTGCTCTTGAAAGTGTTTTCTTCTTTGGTCTTTGCTCCATCATCCACCAGCCTTTCTGTCTCTTCCATTCGCAGGCTGATGTCCACCATGAAAACATCTTCCCCCGACACAGATGTCACGATGGTTGTCAATTATTACTACTTTGTGGCGTTTAAGCCGTCATAGTTCTGATGGTGTGAATCCTTTTTTTTTGGTTTTTGTGTTCCTGTGTAGCTTTAAAAAGAAGTGAATCAGCCCTTTAGACTTTTGTTTGTGATGGTCGTCAGTTGTGAAATTCCTAGAAGACGCACTTTCTTGGAAAGTCAAAAAGACAAATGAACTGATTTAAAAACAACAGAACCAAAGTGCTGCACAATTAAAGCAGCAAATCCAACACAAAGACACGAATAAAAGAACGACATCAGGGTGTTTAGCTCCACCTTAATTGTTGATAGGTTTTCTCACCTCAACATTAGATTCCTTTTGCTTGACAATTTTTGATTTGCTTGAAACTTTTTGCACAAATTCTGGACGTTTCAAATGGTATCTGTCATGTTTTAGATTGTTATATCAAGTACTATTTGGGATTAAATAATAAAAACTACTATTTGGATCTGGCTATCAACTAATATCTGAGTCCTACCTGCTCTATCAGTCGTGAAAGTTGAAGTAACAGAACTTAATTTCCAATTTTGTGACCAAGAAGTTTATATTAAAATGTAGTTCTTGTTTTGTTTTGTGATATTGTGACAACATAAAATGTCATTAGCTGATTTCTGGATGGTTTATTTGTTAATGTGTCATCAAAGATGGGACTTTTCACGACTGTTTGTTACTGCTTGTCCAATATTGCAGATTCTGAATAAATGCCACAGTGATGAATAATGGCGACAGTTTTAGTAGTTCCTGGGGTGTTGCCGTTCAATCATGTCACTAATATCTTTATAAATATCCATATTTTATGTGATAAAAACTTCAAGCCAGTGAGAGATGGTCAAAGAGGAAATTGTTGTGAAATTTTGATGATTTTACATAAAATTAATTAAATGTTTCTTCCAAGAAAAGATCAACTGTTCTAGAGATTCAGGGGGCAGCTGCCTAAGAACAGTAGTTGAATAGTACTGGTCAAGGCAACTAAGCGACTTTTTAAATCCTTTAGGAGAGACACAGCCCTCAACTTTTGCTAAAAATTTCAAACTCTTTCGTTTTTGTTTGCTGTTTTTGACAAGTTCAATCAAAAAGACCGCTTCTGTGGATGTGAAACGATGATAAAATGAAGTCACGTTCGGCTCATGAACCTCTGTGAGAGCGGAGCGTTGCAGAATGAACACTAGATGGAGCCAGAACGATGGATGAGAGTCCAACAGCCTCATGGTCAACTTTAACATCTTTGAACTGAATGTACTATTTGTGACTGAAAGTGTCCGATCTGCACCTCATAGCAAGCCACGAGTCTCTAACAGATATTGATTTGATCAGGGATATGATATGATCGAGTTCAACTGCTCATTTCTTGCTATTTACATTTAAAAACCAATGGTAACGTCTCTCAATAAAACACCCTGACATCTTCCTGAAACTTCCTTTCCTCCATCTTCTCGACTCCTCGAAACTTGTACGAATCATCCACCCAAGTCATCCTGGTGTCTACCGTCACGTGATCGCAGATTGTTTAGGGCCATGAGAGCAGATGGTAATTACCATGCATGGCCTCCAAATCCCCTGAGAACTTTATTACCATGACACCCTCACATCCATCAGAAACGACAGACAAACCCTATTTTTATACCAAACAGAACATTTATTTCACAATCCTGTCTCCTGCAGTCAAACATACTTCACGACATGCTTTTTTTTTTTCACCTATTAAAATGTGACTAATATGATTTCAACACAAATGAGTCCATATATATCTCCAAGGTTTGAGGGGCGACTCCATCACCGGAGCTGCCCCTATAGCAGTCCCTCGGTGCGTTTACTCCTCCACACCACCAGGGCAGTCATGAGCAGGGTGACCAGGACCGGCACCGCGATGAACGGGGCGAGGACGCCGATGGGCGGGTCGTGGAGGAGCCGGCCCGTCAGGGCGCAGTCGTGGAAGTAGGTCCGGTGAATCTGCATGAAGAAGTGGTCGACTATTTGGTTGGGCCAGAAGCAGTCCATCCTCAAGGCCACCTGGTAGGTGCAGTTTGTTAGACCCTCGTAGATCCTGCAGGGGGCGACAAATCAGCACAGCGGGTGAAACTCTAAAGAACATTTTCCCATTTTGAGATATTGAGTTTTAGAAACATTAAAATCAACTCTTGTGATGTCTTTGAAGCGTCCTCCCAGCGTGGGACCAGACTGAGCGGCGGGGGATTCCTGTTGGTAGGAAAAAAAAGGCAAAGGAGTGTCTAGAATTACCAGCGGGCTTAAGGCGGCTAAATATAACCGCTAGGTGGGAGAGGGCAGGAGAAACGGAGATGCATACCAACAGAGGTCCACCAAGAGATTGTGTTCCCGTTTAACTGCACACGTTGCCAGAAAGTACGTCCAACTTACTTTTGTTTGACTCATCGAGAGGCACCCAATTTGCAAGATAATCAAGAATATTTCTGGTTATGAAAAGACCGATAGAACTGAGCTGCAAGGGTTGCCACGTGAAGCCGCTCTGGATAAAAGTGTGAATTCCACGACTGGCATGCAGGAGTGTCGCGTGTCTGTGTTTTTAAATGCCGCAGGGTTTTCCATCTGCACCTTTTAATGCTTCAATTGTCATCACCAAAAGCTCTTCCAGCTCCAAAAACCCGAGGATTAGGATTAAGTTCAGAGGAAAAGGGTTCAAATGCTTGAAGACTTAGTCGTTGTGGTTGTGATCACTTTGGGTTTACAAGTATGTTAATGCTAAAAAATAAAAGGTTTTGGTCCTCAGGCAAGTGTTTGTTTTTAAAAGAAGTTTTAAAGCTAAAAAAGATCATTTGAGGAGAAGAAATCAGTCTGCAGACGCATTCACACCCACACTGAGGCAGTCGCAGGTTTGGGGATTGATGAATTCCTTAATATAAGATTTTAATCGTCACATTTTGCCAATTGACAAAGATTTATTTTAATAGCACGATCACTGGAGACCTGTGCAGAAAGTCTGACCCCTGTAAATCACTTCAACAACCGAAATACATAAATAAATCTCCTCCCTCCATCCAACTTTAAGGAGACTGGTTATTTTCTCTTCGAAGAACTGTGTGTAATTAGTAAAATAACGAGCCTCTAGAAGAAAAGAGTCCCGGTCTCTAAGGAACGATGGTTCCGTCTCCTAAACCTGTGGGGAAAACTTGGCTTTGGATAACAGTGGCTGAGCCGCTGTGTGATCTCGCCAAGAGAAAAACACACTTGAAAATAAATTTACTTTGGAAATAAAATGACAAAATTACACAGAATTTGTTGAAAAAAGTGCTGCAAATGTACAATACGGCTGAGAATGGGGCGTTTTTATTTTATAAATGCAGATTTTGTATCAGTGAGAACTTCTGATCTTGCTTAAGTAACATCCCGGAGATTCAACCACGGTTTACCTCCACTTATGCACGACTGTAAAAAGAACATCAGTCATTTTATTTTTAAATAAAGCGGATTTAAACGACTTTTAAATGCATGCCTATGAAAAAGCTTTTTCTGTTCTACTTGGCAGACAATGTGGTTTGGACGAAACCATTAACAAGGGTTGGATGGCATGCTGTGACACCTTAAATCTGCATTTTTTTGAATATTTACCACTGTTTGGATCTCACCTGAGCCACAGTTTGATACATAGAATGTGCTGTCATGTGGATGCGAGTGCGAGTCCTGACCTTACAAAGGATAAAGCAGTGTATAGAGGATGGATGGATGGATGGATGGATGGATGGATGGATGGATGGATGGATGGATGGATGGATGGATGGATGATACCTCAGTTAAGGAAAGTGGGCTTCATAGATGCTTCTTTTAAGGATTCTGCTCACTCCCAGTGGCATCCGTCTGGAGTTTAATGAAAACATGAACCACAGCTAAAGCTAGCTGCAAAGTTTTACTTCAGGGGTCTAGTAGAGTATGTTTATGTTGAAAAAAAAAAGTATATTGTACAAACTGTGCATTGATGTCGCTCCTGTCTCTTTAATACCCAATTCCTAAAAAGCAGCTGATTGGTCAGCTAGCTCAACAAAAATGAGGCAGTGCTGGCTGCGCATCTAAAATCTTTAATAATGAAGATGTAGGTAGGAAATAATGGTGAGGAAGCTGCTCATTTTGGTTACCAGGCAGTTGCTATGCAAATGTGTTACCTAGTGATGTCGATAAGTCACGGACAAAAAGGCTGGACCTCAGATTAGGTATTTGAAGCACTAAGGGAGAGAATAAATCCCTTTGGCTTGGGTTTGTTCGCAGACTTTTTACATGCACAAAAAAGTTATTAAACTTTAAAGGTAACAGAAAAATACTAATATGAGCTCTTTAATTTAGAAAACATATAAGAAATCATTCCCAACCGAGGCAGGCGACAGCTGACAAATCCTTTATTTTATTACATAGCGTGTTTCATCCCCATCGTGTTACCAAATTGGCCTCCATATTTTTCTCATTTCCTTTCAAGTCGCCCAGGAGGCAAACCCTGTCACGAGCAGCTTTGTCGGCTTTCGTGACGCACCTGCAAACCCTGAAAGCACGGATAATTTTACGACGAGTTACGACTGCACACACACACACAAAGATCACCACCACCAATTACGCGCTTGGACCAGGAGACGACAGCGAGCCGGGAGGGAAATCACACGGTTCTGACAGCAGCCTCTCCTGTGGGCCTCCTTTCATCCTGACTCGTCCCCACGACTGCCAGCATTTGGGGAAAGAAGAAGCCACCGAACGCCGAGGCGCCGTTTCAATAAAACATCCAACGAAAAAGGTCACGATGCGGCGAGTCAAAACGGAGGCCGTGATGGCTGGAAGGCAACGGGAACAAGAGAGCGAGCTAAACCCAGAGCAACATATCGAGAGTAAGTGACGGTAAACGACGTCATTCCTCCGCTAATTTAATCGTAGCAGCTGG